AGGGAAAAATTCCCCACAGGGGTATAAGTCATTCAACGTAAATGTTTAAATGTTTGGACAAACATAGTCTATACCTTTTAAAAAATTTAAACGAAAGAAAAAAAAAAGGGGTAGGTCGGGGGACCAATGGTTTTTTTCTCCATCACTTTTTTTTTCTATTTTTTTTCACAAAATTCCTTTACAAAAACACACCACTGAAGTGCTGTTACATAGTTTTTTTCAACACACTAACTGCACTTTGGTTGCACAAGATTGGTCTATTAGAGGAAGATGAAAAATAGCAAATAAATAAAAGGACTAAAGTCCCCCAAAAAAAACTACATCTAAAAACTTGTAAGCTGCTGCAATATAATACATTTTAGTTTTTGGGTTTCGCACCGCATTAACTATAAATGATAAGGCGTTTCCAATGAATACAGAATTCATTCAAGTGTAATGAGCCACTAAGTACATCTTGTCCTATTCAGGGCTTTCAAGGAGTTCTGAATAGCAGCCTATTTGGCTCCAATTTGAGTACTGTATATCTTATGCAATGTAGGTGATATGGGGATCCATGTAAGGGACATGTCTATCTAGTAACATGCTATTGCGATAGAAAACAGATTCTGCTGAAGTGAATGAAAAATCCAAGGTAGTGCTGGACGCAGCCACAAGCCCCAGCTCTTCACGAGTGGAGTAGGTCCCAATAATAAAGGCCGTATTGTGGGATTGTTTGTCCTTCCCACGCTCTTGTATCCTGAAAGATGAGTCAATGTAGCACTCTATGTAACCAGATGCTGACACTTCACTAGCTTCTGCCCTTGTTCAAATATGAAATTCTGTCCTTTCCTTGGATCCATGTCAGATTCTACAATGGGGGTTCTTAACACTATGTTGGCCAGTGTTTACAGTTCAGTTAACTCTATCATTGTGGCTGGGAGTGTTCATATTGCAGGGTTAAAGAATATAGTAGTGTGTATTTCAGTTATTAATTGCTAAATGCACTTAATTCATCACTAGTCTCTATACTGTATATCCTATCTGCAGATGTTGGCTCAGCACTCCATTGATCCAGTCTCACTCCTCCTGTATTCTCCCTAAATATAAAGTAAAAGAAGTTGGCCACAGAAGGTGGGTGGGATGCACAGATCTCTCCAGCAAATTCTCTAGGAGTTAAAAGAAGGAAATTGGTCATTTAAAACCTGCCACCATACATTTTAATCTGATAAGTACAGTGGGGATCGAAAGTTTGGGCACCCCAGCTAAAAATTTGTATTAATGTGCATAAAGAAGACAAGGAAAGATGGAAAAATCTCCAAAAGGCATCAAATTACAGATTAGACATTCTTATAATATGTCAACAAAAGTTAGATTTTATTTCCATCATTTACACTTTCAAAATAACAGAAAACAAAAAAATGGCGTCTGCAAAAGTTTGGGCACCCTGCAGAATTTATAGCATGCACTGCCCCCTTTGCAAAGCTGAGACCTGCCAGTGTCATGGATTGTTCTCAATCATCGTCTGGGAAGACCAGGTGATGTCAATCTCAAGGTTTTATAAGAAGATAGCTGTCAGGGCTCCCAGGTATGACCAGAGATGTGTGACTGAAGCAGGGAAACGCAGACTTCAGATATGTGATTAACAATGTAATTTATTAACACTAACAATACAAACATAAACGTAGTGCAATACTAAACATAATACAGTGCAAACAAACCCAACCAACCACCCACAGATAACAGTACATACAAGCAAGCGTCGTCAGGCAGGCCGAGTCAATATCAATTGGGCAGGTAGGTACAGGGGGAGCAAGCGGAGAATGGTCAGGGTCACAAGCCAGGGATCAGAACAGGTAGCAAGCAGCGTAGTACAGAGGGTAAGGCAGAGGGATGGTCAGGGTCACAAGCCAGGGATCAGAACAGGTAGCAAGCAGCGTAGTACAGAGGGTAAGGCAGAGGGATGGTCAGGGTCACAAGCCAGGGATCAGAACAGGTAGCAAAGGAACAGAAACAGGATGCAGGACAGATACAGGGCCCAGGACAAACACACACCAAGGCGGAGTCTGTGGGTCTGGCCATCCCTTAAATACACCAGTATCATCAGTTCCAGGTGTTAGCTGGCTGAAAGGTTGAGTCTCTGATTGCTGGGAGCACCCGCTGGCCAGCCCTGGTACTGCAGATCAAAAGGCAGGTGAGTCCCACCATTGCTGGCCAGTCCATTCCTGACAGTACCCCCCCCCCTCAAGGAGCGGCCTCAGGACGCTCCAAACAGTCCTAGCTGGGAAAAATGTTCCACCCCCGCCCGGGTCTGGTAACTGGCGGGATATCAAAGACTGGCACACCGGGCAGGACTCCGGGCAGCGGTACACCGGGCAGAGGCACATCGGGCTGGACTCCGGGCAGAGGCACACCGGGCAGACCCACACCGGGCAGAGGCACATCGGGCTGGACTCCGGGCAGAGGCACATCGGGCTGGACTCCGGGCAGAGGCACATCGGGCTGGACTCCGGGCAGAGGCACATCGGGCTGGACTCCGGGCAGAGGCACATCGGGCTGGACTCCGGGCAGAGGCACATCGGGGGCTGGACTCTCCGGGCAGAGGCACATCGGGCTGGACTCCGGGCAGAGGCACATCGGGCTGGACTCCGGGCAGAGGCACACCGGGCTGGACTCCGGGCAGAGGCACATCGGGCTGGACTCCGGGCAGAGGCACATCGGGCTGGACTCCGGGCAGAGGCACATCGGGCTGGACTCCGGGCAGAGGCACATCGGGCTGGACTCCGGGCAGAGGCACATCGGGCTGGACTCGGGCAGAGGCACATCGGGCTGGACTCCGGGCAGACGCACATCGGGCTGGACTCCGGGCAGACGCACATCGGGGGGACTCCGGGCAGACGGGGCTGGACTCCGGGCAGAGGCACATCGGGCTGGACTCCGGGCAGACGCACATCGGGCTGGACTCCGGGCAGACGCACATCGGGCTGGACTCCGGGCAGAGGCACATCGGGCTGGACTCCGGGCAGAGGCACATCGGGGCTGGACTCCGGGCAGAGGCACATCGGGGTGGACTCCGGGCAGAGGCACATCGGGCTGGACTCCGGGCAGAGGCATATCGGGCTGGACGCCGGGCAGAGGCACACCGGGCAGAGGCACATCGGGCTACCGGGCGGGAGCGGCAGGCACCGGGCCCCCGGGCGGAGCGGCAGGCACCGGGCCCCCGGGCGGAGCGGCAGGCCTCGGGCCCCCGGGGCGGGGCGACAGGCCTCGGGCCCCCGGGCGGGGCGACAGGGCCTCGGGCCCCCCGGGCGCGGGGGCGACAGGTCTCGGGCCCCGGGCGGAGCGGGCGGGTGCCGGACCCCCAGATGGGGCGACAGGCATCGGGCCCCCAGGCGGGGCGACCCCATCGGGCCCCCAGGCGGGGCGACAGGCATCGGGCCCCAGGCGGGGAGACAGGCGCCGGACCCCCAGGCGGAACTACAGGCCTCGGGCCTCAGGCGGAGCGGCAGGCGCCGGACCCCCGGGTGGAGCGACAGGTCTCGTGCCCTCAGTCGGAGCGGCGGGCGCCGGACCCCCAGGCGGGGTGACAGGCATCGGGCCCCCAGGCGGGGCGACAGGCATCGGGCCCCCAGGCGGGGCGGCGGGCGCCGGACCCCCAGGTGGAACTACAGGCCTCGGGCCCTCAGGCGGAGCGGCGGGCGCCGGACCCCCGGGTGGAGCGACAGGTCTCGTGCCCTCAGGCGGAGCGGCGGGCGCCGGACCCCCAGGTGGAGCAACAGGCATCGGGCCCCCAGGCGGAGCGGCGGGCGCCGGACCTGCAGGCGGAACTACAGGTCTTGGGCCCTCAGCGGAGCGGCGGGCACCGGACCCCGGGTGGAGCGGCAGGTTTCGGGCCCTCAGGCGGAGCGGCGGGCGCCGGACCCCCAGGTGGAGCGACAGGTCTCGGGCCCCCCAGGCGGGGCGACAGGCATCGGGCCCCCAGGCGGGGCGGCGGGCGCCGGACCCCCAGGCGGAACTACAGGCCTCGGGCCCTCAGGCGGAGCGGCGGGCGCCAGACCCCCCGGGTGGAGCAACAGGTCTCGTGCCCTCAGGCGGAGCGGCGGGCGCCGGACCCCCAGGTGGAGCGACAGGCATCGGGCCCCCAGGCGGAGCGGGCGGGCGCCGGACCCCCCAGGCGGAGCTACAGGTCTTGGGCCCTCAGGCGGAGCGGCGGGCGCCGGACCCCCAGGCGGAGCGACAGGTCTCGGGCCCCCAGGCGGAGCAGCGGGCACCGAGTCACCAGGCACGACAGTGGGGCTCCGAGTCAACTGGCATGACCGCTGGCACTAGGTCAGACATTGGGTCGTCTGGCTGGACAGCGGGCATCGGGTCACCAGGCATCAGGTCATTTGGCTCGACAGCGGGCACCGTGTCATCTGGCAAGGCAGTGGGCTCCGAGTCAACTGGTATGACCGCGGGCACTGGGTCAGACATTGGATCGTCTGACCGGACAGCGGGCATCGGGTCACCAGGCATCAGGTCATTTGGCTCGACCGCGGGCACCGCGTCATCTGGCAAGGCAGTGGGCTCCGAGTCAACTGGTATGACCGCGGGGCACTGGGTCAGGACATTGGATCGTCTGGCTGGACAGCGGGCATCGGGTCACCAGGCATCAGGTCATTTGGCTCGACAGCGGGCACACGGGTCATCAGGTACCGGATTGTCTGGCTCGACAGCAGGCATCGGGTCACCAGGTATGACAGCGGGCACTGGGTCACCAGGCATCAGGTCATTTGGCTTGCCAGCGGGCACCGCGTCATCTAGCAAGGCAGTGGGCACCGAGTCACCAGGTACGACAGCGGGCTCTGAGTCAATTGGCACGACAGCGGGCACCGGATCAGGTACCGGATCATCTGGATCAACAGCGGGCATCGAGTCAACTGGCCTAATAGGATCGTCAGGCTGGATCAGTTCATCATGCTGGGTAGAGGCATCAGGCTGAATGCCGGCGTTCGGCCGAGTAGAGGCTTCAGGCCGAGTAGAGGCTTCAGGCCGAGTAGAGGCATCAGGCCGAGTAGAGGCTTCAGGCCGAGTAGAGGCTTCAGGCCGAGTAGAGGCATCAGGCCGAGTAGAGGCATCAGGCCGAGTAGAGGCATCAGGCTGAAGAGAGGCATCAGGCTGAAGAGAGGCATCAGGCTGCGTACAGGCATCAGGCCGAGTACAGGCATCAGGCCGAGTACAGGCATCAGGCCGAGTAGAGGCTTCAGGCCGAGTAGAGGCTTCAGGCTAGTAGAGGCTTCAGGCTGAACCACGGAAGGCAGGTTCACCGGTTTGGATACTGGCAGGATGGTATTGGTTGGAAAGAATTTTCGCTTTTTTCTGGTTTTAACTACTGGAGCACTGCAAGTAAACGCAGGTCTGCAAACGAATGGAGCAGCTGGAGACAGAGAAGAACTGGAGGATGGAACAGGAGAGGGAGCAGTTGCTACAGAGGGCTTTTTTACAGGGTTAAAGGCAGGATAGGTGCAGCGAGTGGGAACAGGGTACTGACATGCGGTAGATAGCAGGGCAGGAGGAGCTGTTGGGAATGCAGGAATAGAGTTTTGAGGAAATAGATTAGAAGCAGGACTGGGTCTTTGTAAGCTGACTGAGGCTGGGTGCAACAAATCTGTCCATGTCTGCAGTATGGGTTGAACAAAGCTGAGCTTACACAAAGCCTGTCTGGTCAATGACTGCACTGCGTTTATACAATCTCTTAGTGTCTGTGGTGAACATGTGGAATAACGCTCCAGAAAGTAACCCACATCATCCTCTAATAACCATACCAGGGACTCTACCTGGTCTGCACTAAATGGTGGCAAAAATTCATCCCTGCATTCGGGGGGAACCAGATGAAACCAACTCAGCACAAACCTCAATCAAAGGCTACACCTCAGAGAACTCTGTGCCCTCATCTACTAGAACATGAGCGAGCCGTATACATTCTAGCAGTTCATCCCGGGTATACTCCTTCAGAGTTTGATAAGCATACTCCCTGTCATCAAACACTAGCAGATATAAATATTCAACCTCATCAAGATCCATCCTTCCCATCAACAAGCCAAGATGGCTTCCCTGTGCAGCCACTTCTGGTCAGGATTGGCCTTGGTGTAATGTCAGGGCTCCCAGGTATGACCAGAGATGTGTGACTGAAGCAGGGAAACGCAGACTTCAGATATGTGATTAACAATGTAATTTATTAACACTAACAATACAAACATAAACGCAGTGCAATACTAAACATAATACAGTGCAAACAAACCCAACCAACCACCCACAGATAACAGTACATACAAGCAAGCGTCGTCAGGCAGGCCGAGTCAATATCAATTGGGCAGGTAGGTACAGGGGGAGCAAGCGGAGAATGGTCAGGGTCACAAGCCAGGGATCAGAACAGGTAGCAAGCAGCGTAGTACAGAGGGTAAGGCAGAGGGATGGTCAGGGTCACAAGCCAGGGATCAGAACAGGTAGCAAGCAGCGTAGTACAGAGGGTAAGGCAGAGGGATGGTCAGGGTCACAAGCCAGGGATCAGAACAGGTAGCAAAGGAACAGAAACAGGATGCAGGACAGATACAGGGCCCAGGACAAACACACACCAAGGCGGAGTCTGTGGGTCTGGCCATCCCTTAAATACACCAGTATCATCAGTTCCAGGTGTTAGCTGGCTGAAAGGTTGAGTCTCTGATTGCTGGGAGCACCCGCTGGCCAGCCCTGGTACTGCAGATCAAAAGGCAGGTGAGTCCCACCATTGCTGGCCAGTCCATTCCTGACAATAGCAAAGCATTTTCAGATGTCAATATCCTCTGTTCGGAATGTAATTAAGAAATGGCAGTCATCAGGAACAGTGGAAGTTAAAGCAAGATCTGGAAGACCAAGAAAAATAACAGACAGAACAGCTCTCAGGATCGTGAGAAAACAATTCAAAACCCACGTTTGACTGCACGATCCCTCCAGAAAGATCTGGCAGACACTGGAGTTGTGGTACACTATTCCACTATAAAGAGATACTTGTACAAATATGGTCTTCATGGAAGAGTCATCAGAAGAAAACCTCTTCTACGTCCTCACCACAAAAATCATCATTTGAACTTTGCAAATGAACATATAGACAAGCCTGATGCATTTTGGAAACAAGTTCTGTGGACCGATGAGGTTAAAATTGAACTTTTTGGCCGGAATGAGCAAAGGTACGTTTGGAGAAGAAGGGGCACAGAATTTAATGAAAAGAACCTCTGTCCAACTGTTAAACATGGGGTTGGATCAATCATGCTTTGGAGTTGTGTTGCAGCCAGTGGCACAGGGAGCATCTCACGAGTAGAAGGAAAAATGGATTCAATAAAATTTCGGCAAATTTTGGATGGTAACTTGATGCCATCTGTGAAAAAACTGAAGTTGAAGAGAGAATGGCTTCTACAAATGGATAATGATCCTAAACACACCTCGAAATCCACGGGGGATTACATCAAGAGGCATAAACTGAAGGTTTTGCCATGGCCTTCACAATCTCCTGACCTCAATATAATTGAAAATCTATGGATAGACCTTAAAAGAGCAGTGCGTGACAGACAGCCCAGAAATCTTAAAGAACTGGAAGACTTTTGTAAGTAAGAATGGGCAAAGATACCTCAAACAAGAATTGAAAGGCTCTTGGCTGGCTACAAAAAAGTGTTTACAAGCTGTGATACTTGCCAAAGGGGGCAGGACAAGATATTAACTCTGCAGGGTGTCCAAACTTTTGCAGACGCCATTTTTTTGTTTTCTGTTATTTTGAAAGTGTAAATGATGGAAATAAAATCTAACTTTTGTTGACATATTATAAGAATGTCTAATCTGTAATTTGATGCCTTTTGGAGATTTTTCCATCTTTCCTTGGCTTCTTTATGCACATTAATACAAATTTTTAGCTGGGGTGCCCAAACTTTCGATCCCCACTGTAGACAGATGGCCATTTTCATTGAGTATATGGACAAACGTATGTGGTTTCGAATCTACCGAGTTCAGGTATTTCCAGTAAAAGTGCAATCATAAACAAAGAGGGGGCGCACCAGCCTAGTGCACTATCCTTAGATATCCTTTATTGATACCATCAAAGAATGTATTATATACTCACAAACCAATGTATGTATAAGCTCGGATTAGAAAATACAGGTACAGACCACCAAGATTCCTGTGTATCATCCCAACACATCACATCACACAGAGGAATAGCATGAGTCTGGAAGGCTACCGCATTTCGAGGGGCATGTCCTCTTCCTCAGCGTCTCTGGCCTTGTGGCAACAGTTTGGAATGGTCCTTTTCTTTTTCACCAAGACTGTGCCTCTAAACACTTAGCCAGGGTCATAAAGACATAGTTTGATGAATCTGGTATGGAGGAACAGAGGTGTCCTGCACAGAGCTCTGACCTCAACCCTGAACACCTTAAGGAGGAACTGGAACACCAGCCAGGTCTTCTCATCCAACATCAGTTCCTGACATCACAAATTATTTTTTGGCCAGATGGGCACAAATTGCTCCACTTAAAAATCCTGTGGAAAGCTTTTTATTAAGAAGTGGGGGCTGTTATAGTCACAAAAGAGGGTAGGCAAATAATGGCCGCAGTGTGATGGTCAGGTCTCCACAAACTTTTGTCCTTTTTGGGGTTGATTTATTAAAGGCAAATAGGCTGTTCTTTGCAAGGGGATTATTCTCAGAGTTAAGTTGATGTGGTGAAATTTCACTTTGCAAAGAATACCCAATTAGTAGCAGGGGAAATAAAAAAGAGCTGTGAGGAAAATCCCCTTGCAAAGTGAATAATCTATTTGCTGTTCATAAATCAAACTCATAGTGTATTTTGATTTCTAAACTTCCCCTCTTGAAAGTGTAACTTCACCCAATGTTTTAGTTTTGGATGGAGTGGAGAGGATTAGAATCTGAGGAGAGATTTCCTCACTTCCCATCCCAGACACATAATAAAATATAATGTGCCTCATCAATGCCTGTAACATGTCATTGATGATGAAACACATCAACAAGCTTTCAAAATTTTAAAGCAATTTCCAGGGAGAGAGCAGGTAAATAAACTTCACACAATACAATCTCAGAGGACTGTAGCATATGACAATCTCCTTATGGTATAGGTACTATATCACATTTAAAAAATCTTTTTATTGTAGTATCACTTCATTTTAAGGGCAGCACAGTGGCTAAATGGTTAGCACTTCCGCCTGGCAGTACTAGGGTCGCTGGTTCGAATCCCAACCACAGCACCGCCTGCCTGGAGTTTGCATGTTCTCCCTGTGCCTGTGTGGGTTTCCTCCCACACTCCCAAAGATATGCTGGTAGGTGAATTGGCTCCTGTCTAAATTGGCCCTAGTATGTGTATGTATGAATGTGAGTTAGGGACCTTAGATTGTACCCCCCTTGAGGGTTAGGGACTGATGTGAATGTACAATATATATGTAAAGCACTGTGTAAATTGATGACGCTATATAAGTACCTGAAATAAATTTTAAGGTAAACCTGCTATGAAAGAA